CGATGGTTGGTTGGGGCGTGTTGAGAGGCGGAGAGAGCTAAGACGGGTAAGGACGTGGGGAGTGGGGCAGAGACATCTTGCTTTACCGTAACACAAAATTTCAGTGCCTCATAACCTCCACCCCCTCCCTCTGTATTTTGTGACACCCCCGTCACACCCAGCAGTTAAGAAACACTCCCCTGATCTCCCCGGTGACTTGTGTAACACAGGCCATACAGCTGCATCTAGGATTCCTCTTGGGGTGGGGGGACAATCCCAGAAATGCAGGCAACTAGGGTGACCAGATGTCCCGATTTTATAGGGATAGTCCCGATTTTGGGGTCTTTTTCTTATATAGGATCCTATTACCCCCCCACTCCTTGTCCCGATTTTTCACACTTGCTGTCTGGTCACCCTACAGGCAACTAAACCAAAGCAATTCACCGACCGTGCACTTCTGCACTAAACAAACAGCAGGTTCCAGATGCATGGTCTCTTAGCTCTAGCACCTCACACACTCTGTTTACAAAGGGAAATGGCGTGACTTCTACCTACCAGCTCAGCCAGCTCACTCAGGATTTGAAGGCACTAGTGCTTGGACAGCAGGTGTTGCTGATTTGAAGAGGGACCTGGCACAAGTGTCACTGAAAGCCTAATTTGGCCTTGAGAACCTTTCTTTTGCATGACCACACATGAGAAAGGTAGCCCCTCTCCCCCCAGCTTAACTCAGAGCCCAGGGTGAGTTTGCAAGGCTGGCTCTTGGAAAACACATCTTGTTACCTACAAGCTGGTCAAATTTAATGTCACGATGCCATTACTGTAGAGTCACTTTCTATAGTACAGCCACCTGATCGCACAGAATGGGCTATGAGTGGGACCAACTTAAGGTTGTTCTGGGAACCTTAACCTTGAGTTTTCTGACTTTATAAGTTGATTGTTTGCCATTTGGCCCCAATGCTGGCAGACTCCGGTGCTCATGTCCTGTCCTGTCAAGCTCTGTGTGGGTGCAGTGGGCCTCTAGCACTTAAACAGCTAAAGGATCAGGGCCTTATTCTCCATTTTTATAAATAACCCCCTTCCCCATTAACTTTCCTTTCTGTCTTAAACTTGTGGATCAAATTCTGCAGTCTTTACTCACACAAATCTTCCATTGACTTCCATGGAAGCTTTGCCTGAGGAGGTACAGTACAGCCAATTCCTATGTTTACTAAAATCATTTCTTTATTTGAACATTGCTATGATTCCGATGGTGTTTTAACCCCTTCAGACTATATAATTATGTTGGGGCCTGATTTTCCAGACTCTCACACTTGTGAGTGACATTATGTGTGAGCAGGGTCCCACTGAACTTGATAGAACTGCACACAAGAATAGATTTGCTCACATATGGAAGTGTTTGCAGAATCAGGCTGACAGGATAATATCCTTATGTTCTGTGTGTGGTTAGTTCGTGAGGAATTTTACATGCAGCAAGTGTATATTTTGTTTTAATAGATTGCAATATTTCTAAGACCCATTTTTGGTTCTGTTTTTACAGATTTATCCAATATACACAGGGGCTTTAAGCACATGACTGCAGACTGTTTACAGTTAGCACAGAGTTACAATTTATGGATCTGATTTTGCAAACCCTTATGCAAAGGAACAGTCCTGTTGATTTCAATGAGATCATTCATATGAATAAGCACCATCCACATGATTAAACTTTTCAGGATCTAGCCCTGCTTCTGTTCTGTAGATGAGGGGTAAGAGGTAATGCCTTAATAAACACTGCAAAATGGCTCCAGAGTTGGTGACAGGAGAAGCTGAAGAATTCCCAAGACCCTTTAGAACTTTTCTCAAAATCCCAGGTGCTTCATGTATCATCAAGAGCATTTTAGTTATTCATGTATTTTGTTGAATTTGCCAGTAATAAAACATCCATAACCTCATAGTAAGATAATCATTCCAATATGTGCATCACATAGTGATTATTTAGTTAACATTAAGATCAACAGTGCTGTGAAATAAATAACTTTGGAACACCCCTTTTTCTAGAAAACATGGTGCCACCCACGCCTTCAGTCCTGCCAGAATACAAATCCCGTACAAGTCAATAGGCCTATACAATTCTAGACCCAATAAATAAATACATAATAATCCTTAACTCATATATAAGGCTTCCTCTGTAGGTCTCAAAGCACTTTACAAAAGAAGGTAAGCACAGTTAGTATTAAAGAGGAGACAGAAGCAGAGAGAGGTGAAGTGATTTTCCTAAGGTCAATCAGAAGTCAGTGGCAGAGGTGGGAATGGAATCCATGTGTGCTGACTCCTGGTCCAGTGCTCTATCCCTTAGATCTCACTACCAGCCTCCTTTTGCCGTTAGACTTCTCCAAAGCACTTTGTCGCAGTTCTTAGGCTAGAAATATGGCAGTGCTTGCCAGTGATTCCATCTGCAAAGCCTTATTTTCACACGTCTTTCTCTGAAAAAAGAAGAAATTCCTAACTTTCAACCACATGATACATTAACAAAGGGGTGCCCGAGCAATTGTATTTGTGTTATAGATACTATATGTATAGTATATATTTTTAGTCTAATGCAAAACCACTTGTCTTGGTTTTAGATGTTCAGCAGCAGGACAAAAAGGATTTTGGAAGGATGAGGTCGAAAGATAAGGTTCACCCAGAGGACCACTGTCAAGGGTGTGTGTATGCAGCGCTGTTGTAGCCATGTGGTTCCAGCATATTAGAGAGACAAAGTGGGTGAGGGAATATCTTTTATTGGACTAACTTCTGTTGGTGAGAGACACAAGCTTTCGAGCTTACACAGAGCTCTTCTTCAGGTGTGTGTGTGGTAATTTTGGTCTATCAGACTTGACTGTTCTTTCAATGGCTCTAATTTATGGGATTTGGATTCTCCCATTTCAAGTGGTGGTGGTTTGGGTCTCATCCTACCAGCATCCACTTGTGAGAGGGACACTCCACATGGATATCCCCCCTCCCTGGTACAAAGCGGATGGTGGGGGGTTGCCTCTGTGATGCTGCAGCATCTGCTGTCCCTCCCATGCATGGGAAGGGGATAGGGTTGGAACCAGGGCAGGCACATTGCTCCTTCAAGTGCCACAGACACTCCCCATTAATCCTATTACAGCCCCAGGCTGGTTGGTGTTTGCAGCACAGAGGTCAAGTATTAACTGGGCATGGGGAATAATGCAGCCCCTCACCCCTCATTCCCAGTAGCAGGGTCAAGTTTGTACTAACGTACCTCACTGCCTGTTGTGCAGGTAGGTACAAGCTGTGATTTGGCAACGCTGCTAATCCCTCACCTTTCATCAGCACAAGAGTCACCCAGTGTTTGGAAGTAAGGGTTGCATTGAAATGGTGCCTGCGTTTAGGGTTAGGTTACGGGGACCACCAGCCATTCACCTGGGAAGTGCTGAAGCAAGTCACATGTTGTTCTGAGTCAGGGCCACAGGCCATAGTTCTGCTAGCCAGAACAGATACAGAAAGAGTAGCGTGCCTCTCTCCTTGCCGTCATGGGAGCCCCAGAGCTTGTAAGTTCCTGTTTTCTGATGTGTTTTTTAAATAACACTTCACAGAAGATAAAATCCAAGGAGGAGCCTCATGTCAAGCCTTCCTCCTCTCCTCAGTGTTTGGAAATTCACTAGCAAGTGCTATTGACAAAGCCCCGGCTCTGCACTCAAGTCCAGTAGAAAATGCCCTGTCAGGCCACTTGTCACCTGATGTCCTGAAAGCCTATTGGATTGTGTCACCCGTGTCTACCCTCTCCCTATCCTCCCCATATCCAATGTGACTTGTGATTTTGCACAATAATTTCTGTGATTAAAGGTTCAATCCTGCAAGCACTTAGTCATGTGACTTGTCCTTACCCAACCAAGTAGTGGCATGCAAGATCATGCCCTAAATCAGTGGTCTCCAAAGTGGGGTGCGCAAGAGGATCCTGCGGGGAGTGCGGCAGGAGGAGCGGCTTTTTTTTTTTTTTGCGCTTGGGGTGGCAAAAATGGTAGAGCCGGCCCTGTGGCGCGGCAGGGGGTGCATGCTCAAAATTTTTTTACCAATAGGGGTGCGCGATCAAAAAAGTTTGGAGACCACTGTCCTAAAACACTGCCCTCGAGATGAGAGAACGTTCAGATCAGAAGTTTAACTGGCAGCTCACAAATGAACTCACGTATAAGCCTTCGTGTTACTCCTCTGCGTCCTGCCATGTGTTGCATGCTTTTTGGAAATGTTGCCATGCAACCGCTACACAAGTCTTCAAGCAAAGAGCATCGGACAGAAAGCTAGTTAGAAATATAAAAGTGGGCAAAAGTTGTTATAATATTTGATGTTTGCTGCTTTTCTGACTAAAAGCTCTTTTATTAAACTGTTCGTCCATTCCTTAAAAGCAAACATTGGGGGTGGCAGAGTTTGGGGAAAGAGACTGTCATTTCTCTCTGATTTAAGCATTCGCTTTTGTTTTTCTTCTTTTGTGCAATCATAGGCCTCACTTAATCCCTTTAAATGACTTGCTTTTAAAAACAAACAAAAGCAAAATAAGGAATCATTTACATCATTATGGGTATATTTATACACCGTTACCGATGATATGGAAAGAAACAATTGAGTTCTGCCCTCTGGTGGTCAAATTGGTATAGTGCAACAGGCGGTGAAGGCTCAGTGCAGGAGAAAGGGCATCTTACTATTTATTTGTCTTGTGGTAGCACCTAAGAGCCCCAGTCATGTACCAGGGCCCCATTGTGCTTTATAATGTAACATTTTGTATGTCTATAGCACCCTGCATCCATAGAGGTCAAAGCCCTTTAGAAACATAAATAGCTTTTAGTCATACAAACCCCTGTGAAATAGGAATCACAGTTATTGTTTTACAAACTGGGAACAGTGGCACAGGGAGGCAAAGCAAGGGGCACAAGACAAAGTAACAAGTCTGTGGCAGAGCCAGGAAGAGATACCAGGCATCCTGGCTGTCAGGCCTGTGCTTTAACTGCAAGACCATCCTGTCTTACACTTAACTGCTCTGACAGAATTTTCAAAGTAAGGAAGGAGACGGTCCTTACCTCCCATCTCCGAGTGGCTTCTAACCTCCATGTTTCAGGAAGCAGGACAGATCTAAAATCTGCAAAGGGAAGGCTGCCTGTTCCTACTGAGATCAATGGGACAACTCGTGTAATGACGGGGAATTCCCATCTGCCCTTTGAAGTCAGTTTCAGTCCCCTTTGCATTGCTGGAGTGGTGCAAAAGGGACTTAATTTGGATTAAAATATGGTGTATGGTATTTATAGAAAGAGACGCATTAGAAAAGCACTAGCTGTTTGAACTGTCAGTGTGTAAACAACATGTCATACATGCTAGCCTGTACATGTGCACAACTGTCTTCTGCTGGATCAGTACTGTTATTATACAGTGCCTTGAGGCTCTCCAGCTGAGCTAAGTGCCCCATTTTGCTAGGTGCTGTACACGTTAGACAGTCCCTGGCCCAGACAGCTTATAGTATAAATAGACAAGTCAGATAAAGGCCGGGAGCAAGGAAGTCATTTTAGCTCCATTTTACAGATGGGGAACTGAGACATCATTAAATAATTTGCACAAGGTCACACAGGATGTCTGCACTAGAGACCGATTTTGAACCCAAATCTTGTGAGTCTCAGTTCTGTGCTCTAAGCACAGGGCCATCCTGCCCCTCAATTTGCTGAACAGAATTAAATCTGCTTAAGTGTTTGCAGCTGCGTTGCCCTCCAGAATTTGGTTTCCATACCCTATTATTTAAAAAAAAAAAAAATTCTAACTGAGCTTGTCTTCAGCTGTAAAGCCATGACTCTGGAAGCAGAAAGTCATGAGTTTTCTCCCTCAGACCAGGGGTGGCCAACCTGTGGCTCCAAAGCCGCATGCAGCTCTTCAGAAGTTAATATGTGGCTCCTTGCGTAGGCACCGACTCTGGGGCTGGAGCTACAGGTGCCAACTTTCCAATGTGCCGGGGCGGGGGTGCTCACTGCTCAACCCCTGACTTCACCCCTTCCCCCAAAGCCCCGGCTCCTTTCTGCCCTGTTCCCTGAGCCTGCCACGCCCTCGCTCCTCCCCCTCCCCCCAGAGCCTCCTGCAGCATGGGGAAGGAGGGGGAGGCGCTGATCAGCAGGGCTGCTGGCAGGCGGGGGAGGGAGGAGCTGATGGGGGGCTGCTGATGTATTACTGTGGCTTTTGGCAATGTACAGTACATGGGTAAATTCTGGCTCCTTCTCAGGCGCAGGTTGGCCACGCCTGCCCCAGACACTCTGGGGGTAGCTCAAGTCACGTCTGTGCACACATGCAACCACAGGATCATTCCAAAGACACAGTTAGGACTAAGCTACTTCATCCTCATAGGCTTCAAAAACCTACATATGGAAGCTCTGATGAGAACTAAAAAGCTCCCAGTAGTCTTAATGGTAGTTTGTTCAACGTCGCTATTTAATCAGTTAATCCCTTTTCTAAAGAGATTTTAACAAATATCACATTTTTATACGCTTGAGCTTTACTTTTTCTAACTTTCCATTTTTATAATAATAATAGAGTCCTGATCCTGGTAGGAGCTCCAAAGAGGCCTGCCTGAACAGAGCTCAGTGCAGCATCAGGAGCTAAGACTCTCACCCTGAAAAGTATAAGGCTCCAGTCCCACAAACGCGTATGCATGTGCGTAACTTTTTTCACAGAAGTAAAGTTAAGCATGCGCTTAAGTGTTTATAGGCTTGGTGCTTTACTCACATGCTTAACTTTACATAGTGAATGGTCCTTTAACTAAAGGTAAGCACATGAGCAAGTCTCTGCAAAATCAGGACCTGCAAACTTTTGACTTTGAAATGTTGTGTATTGAGTCAGACTGATTTCTGCAATATTAAATTTATCCTTTTCCATCAAAAGGAATGGATAAATTATATACCCCATGTTTGGGAGAGTGGAGTTTGTAAGACTTTGAAACAAGACTCTTGCAACACCTGTGCCTTTCAAAAACAGTTGCAATATAATTCCCACTATAGCATTTCAAAACAAATAAAAAGGAATTATATTCTGTCCAAGTGAGTTACTAACTTGAGTGGATGGAAAGCAGCTGACTTTACAGAGGAATAAGTAGGCTTCAGGTTTTCTGGAGTCCTCCCACTTGAAATCCGTTTTATAAGCACAAAAGCCTATACACATCAGTCAATACTATTAAGTCGGACTAGATAGATCCGGGTCTGGTGAGTCTCAAACCTGTTCTATTGAATTCTGTCACTTCCAGTTAAACATTTCTGATTTTATTCTGGTTTAACCCACGAATTGCTCCACTTAAAGAAATAAATAAAAGGGAAGGATAGGGAAGGCTTCTTACATATATAGAAAGGGTACAGAATAGTATCCTCAATGTAATGTATAGTATTTACACAGCTTGCTTACAGCTTACTGGATTTGGGATCACACATACACTCCCCTTCTGTTCTCTATTGATGGAAATCAGCACCATAAGGCATTGATCCTCACAGGTATTTAGGCACCTAACTCCTATTGATTTCAATGGAAATTAGATGCCTAAATGCATCTGAGGATCTGGGGCTAAAAGATCAGAATATTTCTCCAATCTAAGCATAAGTAGGTGAGGTTGGGTGTGTACAAGGGGAGAAATAAACATACCAGCTTCCAAATTCCTGGTGCCCTTTCTTATGAAACAATCTTTTGAACATCAGAGTTACTCCCTAAATTAAGAGGGCAAAAACAAACTTTATACCTATCTTATCTAATTATACACACTTGAAACCTCCCCATTGTTAGGCCTTGATTCAGCAAAGTGCCCAAGTCCCATCGACTACGTATCTTAAGCATGTGCTTAAAGTTAAGCAAGTGCCTAAGTGCTTTGCTTATTTGGAGTATGAAAAGAAAAGCTAGTTGGCCCTGCCAATTCTCTGGGCACGGTTGAGTCTCTGGGACAGATTCTCAGCTGATGTAAATTGTTATGGCTTCACTGAAGTCTAGGGAATTATGACCATTTATGCCAGCTGAGAATCTGTCCCTGTATTTCAAAATAATCTTCACCTGCAGAAAAGTATTAAAGCAAAATATAAATCCAATGGATAAAAGAAACATCATTGTTGTAGGGACCAGAAACAACTGTGGTAGATGTTTAAGTTTTTCACTTATGGGACTTATTGCACAAAAGCTGTATGACATTACGACTGATTAAATTATAGTGGACACAAGGGTGATTTAAAAATAATTGTGGACATATTTAGGTAAAATGAAGGTCAGTTTGAAAGCAGTTTAAATAAGATTACTTTAAAAACAAATGTCATTTTATATCGCAAATGAGTAGCTTGAAAATAGCCATCATGAGAAATGTATTGGGAATAAAATTAGGTTGGAAATAATAGGGAACTGGGGGTAAAAATCAAGTTGTATTGAAAGGGAAGATGGGCATTGTGAATAAATAAGATGAACAGAAAACAGCATAAAAGTAATCAGAGTTGAATCACTTTATCAAAATGTGAAAAAAACCTGCTGGTGGAATCTGCTGAAAATTCACGTCACCAGCCAGAAATATTGGAAGGCTTGCTGAATAATCATCAAATGTTAAGTTGTCTTTTGGCTGACAACTAAGGATGCCCAGAAAGACATGACCAGATTCTCTTGGGTGTAGCTCCACAGCTGTCATTGAAGCTAGGCTGATTTACATCAGCTGAGGATCATGTCTAGGAAGTTTCACTGGTTTTATTGGTAGACTCTTGCACTTCCTGTCACACTTCCTGGTGTGACGTCCCTCGTGCCCTGGTATGGGGAACCTCTTGCAAGAGGGTGCTTACCAATACTGCAGCAGCTGAACTGCTGCTCTTTCTAAGTTTGGAGCCAGA